CTGAGAAAATATGGAAAGCCAGATGATCAGGCGGCAGGATACCGACCGATCTGCCTTCTCGATGATGAGGCTAAAATCATGGAAAGGATCGTATCGGAAAGGATAATCGCGCATTTAAATGGAAGAGAACCAAACCTCAGCCCCACACAATATGGTTTTAGAAGAGGTAAATCAACCATAGACGCGATAGCGAGGGCTAGAACATACATGGAGGATGCGTTTAAAGAGGGAAGAGTAGTTACAGGTGTTTCGCTTGACATTAAGAACGCCTTCAACTAGCTACCCTGGGGAGTGATAGATGCGGTGCTAAACAAGCATAGAATCCCACTCTATCTGAGAAGAACGATTCGCAATTATCTCAACGGCCAGAAGTTAACGTTTCCTAAGGACGATGGTACATTTGGAGAAAGGGAAGTGCAGAGAGGAGTACCGCAGGGATCGATATTAGGCCCATTATTATGGAATATCGGGTTTGATGAGGTAATGAAAAAGGATGACTTATCCCCGGACTGCCTAACGGTCTGCTATGCAGACGATACAATGATTCTGGTTTCTGGGGATAACTGGGAAGAGGCTACCCTAGAGGCAGGCTTAGCAGTGGGAGTGATCACCCAGAGGATACAGGACATGGGTTTGAAGGTATCGCCACTGAAAATGGAGATCGTAGGGTTCCACGCAAAGGGAAGGCCAGCTGATTCCGCTATAAACGTAGCAGGGATAGAAATAAAAGTGGGGACTAGGATGAGATACCTAGGACTTATTTTAGATAGCAGATGGACGTTCGTTACCCACTTTGAGGAGTTGGTTCCAAGATTGGAGAAATCAGCATTAGCGCTGAGTAGACTCCTACCTAATTTAGGAGAACCAAATGAAAAGGCTAGGAGATTGTATACAAATGTGATCACATCCATCGCCCTATATGGTGCTCCTATATGGGCGTACGAGATGAGGAAAAACAAGAAAATAATACAAATTCTTCGAGCTACTCAACGTAGAGCGAATGGTGAGAGCATACAGGACGATCTCCTTTGCAGTGAACACGGCATTAGCAGGAGTCCCACCACTTAAATTGAATGCGATCAGGTATGAGGAGATGTACGAAAAGATCTCAGATCTTAGAAAGAATAATGCTCCGAACATTCCTATTCAGAAGAATGAGATAGACACCATCAAGGAAATGACTAGAAGGAAACTGGTTAGGCAGTAGAGAGTATGGATGGAAGGGATGGATCAGGAAGGTGATACAATCCTGGGAGCGATAAAAGGCCAGCTGCAAGAATGGTTGGATGCAAGGGCGGGTCTTTCCTTTTGGGCGACGCAGGTTCTCACGGGACATGATTGTTTCAGGAGATACCTGTGTCGGATTGGGAGGGAGACGACAACCCGCTGCTGACACTGTGAATCTCTAAATGATTCGGCCAGGCATACTCTTAGATATTGCTCGACCTGAAATGATGAACGCGCGGAGCTTGTAGGAGCGATCGGTCCAGATATAACATGGGTAGCGATAATCTGAGCGACGAGGAAAGAAGAACATAGACAGGCTTTTCTGCGATTTTGCGAAAAAATCATCACCCGAAAGGAAGCTGCGGAGAGAGCAAGAGAAGGAATAATCTCTCCGCAGGACTAGACAAGGAAGGAGAATGGCCAGTGACCAGTGAAAGGATATTCTACTAGAATAATGGAGATAGGACTACACGCGAAAAATGGTGTGACTGGCACAGAGTGTAAGAATTGCAGAATGAATGAATGAACGAACGAGCGAGATGCCAACGGGCACTTATATACATGACATTTAGCGTTAAGGATAGGAGGGACGATCGAACCGGTTAATGGGGCGGTCAGAGGCTCAATTACGTAGAGCTTCGCCACCACGGGGAGAGGGGCTTCTCCATCTTTAACTTAGTTTCCCATCCTCGTGCACAGGTTGCATATAGGAGGAGACTCACAACCGCACAGATTAGCGGGGCTAAGCTAAAAAAGTTAGTAAATGAGCCCCCGTGCGTGGGAGGCCTTGTCGTGGCACGGGGGCTCACTCTGGACTCTCTTGGAGGTCCTAGGGTGCCAACATCCCACAGTACGGAGTTCCTTGTTAAATAGAGAAGCACTGTACGCATGGGTCCGGCGCCCCAAGGACCCCCCCGTGCTTGGAGCACGGGGGGTCTGGAGAAACCACCCCTCGAGGGTGGGACCTGCGCCGGTAGGAGAAGGTAACTCTAACTACAAATCCCGATGACACGGCACCGATAGAGGGAGGCCTGCTCCCTTCCCGTGGGTGGAATGGTGAGCGTCCACCACGGCCTCGGGACCCGCGTGGGGCCCTCCCCCTCCCCTTGGGGGGAGGGGGAATTCCCTCGCGGGTCCGGAGACCGAAGAGGCGACGCAGGCTTAGTCTGCAGGCGGGTTCTAGCGTGCCATTGAACTCATGCCAGTGTAGGGAAGCGAATGTCTGGAGTGGGTATACCCACATTGCACCCAGACATTCACTACCAGGTTTGCCCAGTGGGCAGTTGTTCTTTATGAACCATCGTCCATTGCACACTGGATGTCTGGTAGAGACGCGGTCAAAGGGCAGTATGCCGTGCCGTCATTGGGCAGAAGGGGTGCTGTCTGGAGGTCGTTGGGGAGGGTGTGGGGCCGTACGGATTTTGTCCGAGCGGAATCTGCACCTCTCGGTGAAGGGGCGTCTGGGAAACCAGGCGCCCCGGTCCCCGGTCATCACGGACTTATTCCGTGGCGGGGCCGGGGGTTGACGGTAGTTGCTGCCAACCCACGGGTTGACAGTACTCAGAGTATTTCCGGGGTTATTACCCATTGCACTGGGGATGTCTCTGGTTCAGGAGCGGGGGTCCGCCCGCTTGACGTCAAGCATTCCGTCATGCGGGCGGGTCTCTCGTTAGTGAATAGATTAGGGGTGGGGGTCATTCCCCGTGGCGTTAAGCGTTCTGCTACGGGGGACGGCGTCCACTGGCGGGGGGCAGGGGGCTGATGGGACATCTACACATCGAGGCTCCCACTCCTTGGAAAGAGTAGACGGGGGTCGCGGCCCTCGGTATTTCCGAGGCAGGGCGAGACACCCCGGCCCCTTTGGTCGCTGCCGGGGGGGTGGGGGGTGCGCTGGGGGGGCTTTATGTGCCCCGCGCGGCACAGAGCGCTTTTCGAGGCCCAACCGCGGCGTGCCTTCCGGTCCTCTTGCTGGGCGACACGAGGAGGGGCGACGGACGGATGCCCGGATTCCCGTGACGGCGTCCCTCCCAAAACGAGAGTTCGGGCGGAGTTTTGGCCGCCTGGGGGAACTGTGTTTCCCTCAGGGAGCGTGCTGGCCGCCATGGCGGGGAGGGTGCGGAGGGGGCGTCGCCTCCGACACTCAAACTGCCCATGGGTCCTCCCCGAGTGGCGTCACCTATGCCGGTGCCCCTGGGATCGAAGCCAGGGGAACCCTGAAAGCCCAAGGCCTAACACCCAAGCCGAAGGTAAGTAAAGGGTTGGAGCCCAGATCCTGCGATACTTTTCCGCAGGACAGAGGGATATGTCGTTCCCCCGGGGGAACTCGGGATCCTGTCGAAAGACAGGGAGGGTATACCCTGAACGGCGCAGCCGGCATGGGCAGAGGGATAAATAAAATGGAGACTGACAAAACTACTATAAGAGAAACTATAAATATGGAGAAGAACAGGAACGAGGAAGAAGTAAGGAAGGAGGAACAGGAGGTAGCAAAGAGATCGGGTATAGTGACCCGTAAGGAGGATCCCCCGCTGAAGATGGACACAGAAGAGAAAACGGGAGACAGAGGTTACTTCTTTAAGAAACCTGGTCCTAAGTTCTATAAGGCGAAAAATACGGAAAGAAGCAGCGTGGATTTATCCGCGATGGAGACTGAAACCGCAGGAATCAGCTCATCGGATAGCGATGCAGGTTCCGAATATTGTAGGAACAGAGGAAGAAAAGCGGTGATAGCGTGTCTGAGGAGGACTCCGATGATCACCCCCGGAGAAAGTAAACGTAGTAAGTGCAGGCCCGACAAGGTTAGCTAGCAACAGGAAGAGGAAAAGAACGGGATCGGGCTCTGATAGCTGCAAAACAGAACGACCGGTGAATATGTTGGACGACGTGAGGCGATACAAAAATATAACGAGGCCAAAGAAGAAGCTCTCCGACTCGACAGAGAAAAACTAATCAGAGAATATAACGATAAGAAGCTCTTCAAAAAGGCGAAAGTAAACCTTGAAAGGATCAAAGAACAAATGGAGGAGCTATCCAATGAGGAGTTGGCCGATAAAGGAAGTTACAGCACGGCGGAAGTGCTCAGGATTGTTAGAACCTCTAGCAACCTAAAAGGCACCTTCCAGAAAAGCCTTAAAATTGCGGCGGCATTCTCAATGGGGATATTAGAGGTTCTTAAGGAGAAGGCGACCCTGTCCAAAGAAGACGCCCAAACGAAGGAAGTAAGATCCTTAAAACGAGAGATCGCAACCTTAAGATTGAGACTTGAGGAAGAGGTAGAACAAGGAAGGAGGAAGGCACTCCAATCGGCCGGTGAAGCCGAAGCCTACAGAAACGAACTGCAGGCTCTCAAAAAAGCAAGAAAAAGAAGGCTAAAACCCCCAGTCCGAAAGAGGGGGCTAGTAAGAAGGCTACCATGGAAACCCCGAGAAAAAGCCCTAGGCGGATACCATCGGCGAAAATAAGAGCTGGAGAAAAACTCGTTTCTCCCGACTCGGACCAGATAGATGTGGAGGAGATTCCGAAGAAAAACAAAGTTATCCTCGATAAGCCAAAGGAATGGCCGGAGGGTAAGAAGACCCACCTTATGTGGGAAACGGAAGCTAATAAAGGAGGACATCGAAGAGCGAAGAGCAATATACAAGGCTCACAAGAAACACATGGAGGATACACAATATGAATCAGGAGACTTATAGAGAACTCCGGTGACAGGAAAGGAAAAATCAGCTGCGGCCGTCCAAATCAGCTGTCGTGGAGATATAAGCTACGCGGACGTGATGCGCTTGGCCAAGTCCAGGGTGAACATCGACATCCTGGACATAAAGGAGATAAGACCGAAGAAAGTTAGGTCAGGAGCCTTACTCCTGGAAGTCCCAGGAGTGGAAGGGACTAGTAAGGCAGACAAACTGGCTAATAAATTAAAAGAGGCACTAGACGATCAACAAAACGTCTTAATTATCCGTCCAGAAAAGACTGCGGACATGAGGATACGAGATTTAGAGGACTCCATGACAAAAAACGATATAATAGCGGCTTTGTCATTGAAAGATGAATGTGCAGCGGAGGCGATAAAACTCGGGAACATAACACCGTCTAACAACGGACTGGGGTCACTCTGGCTACGATGTCCATTAGTCGCGGTCAAGAACATTCGAAATACAAAAGAATAAGGATCGGTAGGACAATGGCCAGGGTGGAATTGTTGCCCGAAAGGGCAACACAATGCTTCAGATGCCTGGAAACTGGACACGTAAGAGACCAGTACCAGAGCGGGAAGGATAGGGGGATGATATGTTACAGGTGCCGTCAGGAAGGACACCTGGCCAGAGCATGCATAGAGCAAGTTCCCCCCCCCCCCCCACATGTAAGAAGAAAACAAGTGGCCCAAATTTGATTGTTAATAAGGAGATCATGCGAAATATACCAAGAGGAAGCGACTCGACGAAGATGGAAGTCTAGACTCCACTAACGGACATTCCAACCAGGACGGCAAGAGGGGACAGGGAGGCTAGCGTGATAAGGTCCCTCGCGGCATGTAGCGTTGTGGATCCTCTCGAGGGCAAACAAATACAGATGCAAGAGCTAATGGAGGTAGACGACACAGAGAAGGAACTTCCGGACACACAACCCCTCCATGAATCTCAAGAATGGCCGACAGAAGATCACAAATGGACAAACGACGGAGGCGAAGAAGAAGGAAAGGAGAAAGAAAGAGAAGGAGGAATCTCTGTAAACCAAAATAATGATTAATAGTATTATACAAGCGAACATCAACCACTCCCGTGATGGTCACGACGTGCTGTTACAGACGATGGCGGAGCGGGACTTCTCACTAGCAGTGATGTCGGAACCCTATGTGATTCCAACCGACCACCCGCATTGGATCGATAACGAGGATGAGACAATAACTATTGTCTGGAGACAGACCCGAGGCGCCATCTCGTGTACCCCTTTTATAAATGGGAAACACTGTGTCGATAAGATGGGGGGACATGGTAGTGGTGGAGACATACCTATCCCCCAGCATGAACATGAAAAATTTCGAGGAGGCACTCGATGAGCTTGAAAGGTGGATCCCACAAGTCCAAGATAAACCTACTTTCGTGATAGGGGACTTTAACGACAAGACGCACATGTGGCAATCGCGAACTACAGACTTACGTGGGATCCAAGTAGCAGAATGGGCTAGCAGGCTGGGTATGTATTGCCTAAATCACGGAGGCAAAAACACATGTGTGAGAGTAAACGGGAAGTCTATCATAGACATGACTTTCGCAAATCCGTTGGCCGCCAGTAGGGTGACTCATTGGACGGTGTCGGATAAAGAGACAAAATCCGATCACCGTTACATCGAAATCACGATCCGTTCTACAAGAATGCAAGAGGTAACACATAAAGTGTCATCTTGGTAATGCTTTTCACACACGGAAAAAATTGCTACAATTACCACAACCAGAAATAATGATAAGGTTATGTTCATCTTACAGTTATCACAACCAAATGTATTGATAAGGGAAAATTATCATTATTTCCAGCTGTAGCGTTTTTTCCGTGCAGGTATTATCTCTAAAGATATCAGAGGGTTAGCTGGTTATCGCTGTATTTTTATCCATCATTAATGCTGACGTTTCTTGAACCTTTCATGTTATCAGGGCGAGGTCACTGATACTGATATATTTGCGTTTTATTAATGCGATGTTATGCAGAAAATCGATTTGCTCCTGTGCAATAAGTCAGTAGCATATGCAGCATTGATTGTGTATAGGGAGTTCATATTGTCAATTGATTTTTCAATCTAAATAACGTGCGAGTGCAGTGCTTCATATAAATTTAAAATAAATATAACGTGTAATGATGAAGCTTATGAATATAAATTCGAAGTGACCTGTAAATGCGGCATTTCTTATGAATTTTTAGCAAAAAAAAAGGTACTTATTTCATTATTAATATTATGTATTGCATTTATCAATAATATATGTTTTTCATACACTTTCCTTTCTATTTATTAATTTATAAAAGCATTATAATAACCCGTGTAACCTTGCATATCCTATTTTACAATCAGTGTCAGAGATGTCCAGCTAATAATGAAGAAAACAATTTATCGCTGAATGCCGATAATAATTTACGAGTACATTCTGGAAATCATTGTCGAAGTCGAGGTGCAACGGAATTTTTTCGAATTCCAGAATTTGTTAATCGAGGAAATCGTACTGAAATGAACGAAATCGTATGAAAATCGGACGAATAAAATGATCAAGGATTGAGGTAGATAGGAGGAATTTGTAACCATTATTTGTGCCCGTGAAAAAAAAAATTAAAAAATATGGTATGTTAATTGTGTTATATAAATTTATTTTTATATTTACAGAGTATGAGTTGAGAAAATTGTACCTTATTAAATAAAATGTTGAGAGTCAATAAACAAAAAACGCAAGAAAGTTCATCGTGGTAATACACAGTAGGCTTATGATAAGTAAAAAGATTATAATTAGAATGTAACAAAGAAATAATAAACACAAGAATAATTATATAATGTAATTAATATAAAAATGTATGGAAGGACATTGAAATAATTTTAATCATCTTTTTACATGTTTTAAATATAATATTTTATTTAGTAGAATCGTAAGAATACCAACATTTGTTGCAAGGGTAAGGAAAACTGTCAAAAACCTTACCAGTATTCTTTAAAAAAATATATTTTATAAATATAAATTAAAATAAAATAATAAACATACAGCATTAACTCAATATAAATGCTTTTTAAAACGTTTTTTTACAACGATTTTTACAATTCCCCCTCATTGCAATATTTACGGTTCAAACTGATTACAAACATAATGATCATGAAAAAAATGCGTTATACAGAGAGACTTTTTGCACCATGCGCAAGTAATTATAGCTATTTCACCACAAATATCGCATGTTGGTTTCGAATGTTTTTTAAAACAAAAATCGACTGATGTGTCAAATTCTACTGGTCCATGTTCCTAATATCCACTTTTGTACCAAGCGTATTTAAATAAATTAGTAAATCTTGGCGATGAAAATTGATTGTGCGTTAATGACTGTAATTTTAAAATAGCGTTTCTGGAATGAAACTTTACATCAAGATCTAAAAGCATGATTACATCTGAAAAATGCATGATGATATTCTTCCAAAAACATCCTACGGTTGTATTTTTCCTGTTGTTCCAGTCGGTATAGTTAATAGAACAATATCTTGTGCAGAATATGGTCTATTTCACTGAATTATATCCGGACAATGACCAGTCCATGAATCTGACAATAAAACTGAATTTGGTCCAACATTTGGAAAATATATGTACTTCCCTTACCCAAGCTTCAAAATGATTAGATGTTAGTTTACCAGATTTTGACGACATAATAAAAATATTATTTGCAGTAAACATTGTTTCTTGTACCCTAGGACCTAATGTCCCACTAGGTTCTTTTAACACTATAAGAAGTGGAGATAATAATCTACCATTCGCTGAAATAACAGGTTGTATTGTATAACTGTGAATAATCGCAGATATTGACTGTGTTACAGACTCTACTTTTTTTACACTTTTCTGTGCCAATGTACGACCAACATGTAATTGAAAACCACTTTGGTCCGAATTATACACATTTTTAATTTCATAGCGATCAATATAATATTTGACATTTTCAATAAACCTATTGCTGACTGCCTGTAAAGCTTCCTTTGACATTAAAGCTTTTTTAGTTATAAATTTCGTAACTTTTCTAGATACTACTTGATGCACGATCTTAAATCTTCTAATCCATTCATGTGATGCTGTAAAACCTAATAAGTTTACTTATTGTTGCGCTTGCAAAGCCTATCGTGTAATATCAATATCATGGATCAATGTCCCTTTACGCATCGCTTCAATGAATTTATCTAAAGTGGTTGCTGAAATTCGTTCCAATTTTTCAAGTCTATTACCACTTACATTCATTTGCTTTATCCATCGTCGCAATTGTCTTGCTGACGTAACTTTCCGAAATCTTGATTTTACAGATTCAATTGTTCTTTGCTTTGACTTACCACTTCTCCAATATTCAACTGCTTCCCTTTTATATTCTGCTGAAATATCGTCGATGTCACAATCTATTTCTTTTACATTGCATGCGTAATTTTCTTCTTCATCTACGAGTTTTATTTCTTGTGCTTCTGGTACGTCATATGAGTTTAAAAAACTCAGCGATTCTTCTTCTTCGATTTCATAATAGTCTTCGTACATTTCATTTAATATCTTTTCCATTTTTTTCCTGATCGTAACTTCTTCTGATATTATAGAACTTTCTGGAAAGTCCATGCAGTAAATGCTGCAGACAGCAGTATTATTACATTTCGTGGATTAAACTGCATTATTTTCTAAAAATTATAAATATTACAATCGTGTAACAATTCAAGTTAACAAAGACTCCTTATGGATTAAAAATTACATATTTACATGTCCATTTCCAATATAATTGTTAAAAGAAAGAGAGAAAAATGTTTTTATTGTCTATATCATAATAAATTTGATACCTTTTTATTGATTATTCTTCAAAGGAATTTATTGAACAATGGAAAAACAATTTTGTACAATTTATAAATGACGTCTTCCTACAAATATTTCAAAACTGTTAGTAAATTATATACTGTTTCATCAAATCCTAACAGTTAAATGCTATTTTCCGCCTAGATTAATAAAACACAATGTTTTGCAATACATTATTCATATTAACATTAAACACTGCAATTAGCTACTGTACGATCAATATATAATGCAGTTATAAAAAATAAATACTTATTAGCCTATTAGTATGATTAACAACTAGTAGTTATTCGAAATCACAAGCACGAAACTGACTCATTCATTCCAACGATTTGCGTATTTTTATATTTATGTATCAATAACATATGCAGACAAAAATAATAATTTTTGTCTGCGTCAGCAAATCTACATATTTTCTACATCACCTTATCAATACTGTAACCGTACTCGCGAGCAACGGCACAACTTCGTCGCGTGTTCTCGGTACTCAAAGTACGCAAAAGTATCTTCTCTCCCTCGGTAGCAGAATTTTGCAACAGCCAGGCGGTTCTTCGGCCAGAATGGTAATTCTTATTACTAAGTTGGGCGCCAGGCACGAGAGAGCGTGCCACTCTTTT